AGGGATTTCTTTTTTTTTTTTTTTTTTAATTTTTTTTTTATTGATTTGAGAGAGAAAGGGAGAGGGGTAGAGAGGGAGAGAGAGAAACATTGATTGGCTGCCTCCTACACACTCACTACTGGGGATCAAGCCCCCATCCCGGCCATTTGCCCTGACCAGTAATTGAACCGGTGACCTCTCGGTGCGTGGGATGATGCTCGAACAACTGAGCCACACCAGCCAGGGCAAGAGTGGTTTGTTCTTGGTGATATCTACAGGCCCTCAACTCTGACAGTCTGACAGTTTAATCTCAGCTTCTCTTGGGCTGTTGCTCATTTAGAAAAATTTGGATTCTGCTGGCATATCTGAATAGCTTTACTCAGGCCTCTGGGTCTTCAGACCCCAATCTGGAAACATCTGGCTCATCCACTTTTCCCCATCTGTCCTGGAAGGAGGACCTGGAGCCATATATAGACCACTGTCAGTTCTGTTGTCCCAGGACCCAGGAGCTTTCACTCATTCACTCAAGCTTTTTATCTAGCACCTTCACTGTGCCCAGAGGTGCCAGGGGCAATAAGAAAAAAGAACCGCCCTTACTAACTGGCTTCCTCCAGGAGGCTAGGCCCTGTGATAGGGGCTTCACATGGGAATTTAATGTTGCCAACAATCTATGAGATAGGTAGTATCCTTATTTAACAGGAGGGGCACAAAAACCCACAAGGATAAGCGACTTGTTCAGGGACCAACCACAGCTAATAAGTGTTGGAACTGGGAATTAACCCCAGAACTAACCTCAAACAGGATATGATTTCCAAGGGGATAAGCCAAAAAACATTTCTCTCAGGCTTTTGCTAGAAGATATCACATGTAGTTTTTTTGTAGTATATCTTTATTGATTTCAGAGAGAGGAAAGGAGAGGGAGAGAGAGAGACAGAACCATCAATGATGAGAAAGTCATTGATCGGCTGCAGCCCGCAACCCGGGCATGTGCCCTGACCGGGAATCGAACCCTGATAGCCTAGGATCCCAGGTCGACGCTTAACCGCTGAGCCATGCCCGGCCGGGTGACATGTAGTTTTTAATACATGGATTTGATCACAGCCCTATGTCTTTCAGACTCCACAGTGTGTTTATTTCTTCACAGGTACTCTCTTTTCTGCTGTGGCCTGTGTGAATGGCTTGGCCATGCTGATGGCCTCTGGCATCTTCAACTCGCTCTACCCAGCCACCCTGAACTTCATGAAAGGGTTTCCCTTCCTGCTGGGAGCTGGCCTCCTCTTCATCCCTGCCATTCTGATTGGGTAACACAGGACTCTGACCCAAGCTCATACGCCCTTTATCCCAAAGGTTTCCTCTCCCTCCTCTTCCTCCCAACCAGAATTGGCTGCCCTGTTCCTGGAACCTTTCCTCTGTGGGCGTTTCAGTCCCAGCCTGACTTTCCCCGTGCAGATGGCTGTCTGATCCTCTGGAAGCCAATTCCTAAGGGCAGGGCAGAGGGGCAGTAGGGGAAGGGTCGGGCTAACATTGCTTCTTGGCAAGGCTGTTCTCTCCCCGTTTCACGCTTTATAGATGGAACTAAATTGACAGATCTGCTAAAGGGAAGCTGGACAGCTTCCTTGGCTCGTTGTGGCTGGGCCACAGGTTTGCTTGCCCCACTGACTTCTTCCTCCATAGCCTTAAGAGTCACTTTCCAGAGCCCTCTTCTCAGGACATTGTCTTTCACCTTACCTTGGGAGGGGGATACCTGTACCAGACTACCCAATAAAGCCTGTGTCACTTCTTCAGGAATTGAGGGTTCCCCCATATAAAATTTGAACCCTCTCTCTGGTCTCTTACAGGATGCTGGGAAAGGCTAATCCTCACTCTGAATTCCAGCAATTTCCCCAGAGCCCCTGATCTGCCAGGACCAGAGGACAGAGGCCAAGAGGAGTGAAGTGAGCACTAACCAACTGGAAGTATGCACCTGGGACCCACCCACAGCAGCACCAGCAGCTCCCCTCAAAGGCAGTGTTCACCTTGGATAAGGTGGTCAAGCTAGACCAAGGCCCCCACCTCATTCATAGCTGTGCCAGCCTGTGACTCAAGGATCTAGAATTGTAACCCAGTCTGTCTGACTCCAGGGCAGGCAGTTGGGAAGCCATTTGGAACAGGGGTCTGTTTACCCTTTATGCCGTCAATCGCATAAAACCCTGAAGGGGAGAAGACAGGTCCTGATAGAGGTGATGCCTCAGGGACCAGTGGAAGCATGAGCGCTGGCATCTCCGCTTCCAACCAAAGCTGCACAGCTCACAGTGCACAGTCCACGGTGGACAGCCACCAGCCACTCCTTAATGATGAATACTTCGAGGGGAGGAAGAGTTGGGAATGGAGAGAGTGCTTCTCACTTAGTGGAATCAATCCCCTCGGCTTAGCAGTGCCAATCATACTAATAAAGCAGTATAAGCACACTGAAATGAACCTTCCGGCACCCAAGGCATTGGGATGTGGGCCCTTTATTTTCCCGTTCCGTCTGCCCACCATAGGTCAGACAGACAGCTGCTGGGCTGGGCAGAAGCCCCTGAGCTGCCATGGGATTGGTACTGGGTGTGGCTAGCCGGGACCTCATCTGACTGCCGGTTCTTTCACCTGAGCTGCTGGGAGATGAAGGGCTTCCAGACTTGCATCAAGCCAAGCAGAGAGGCTTGGACCAGAGCCCTGGCCACTCCTTCCTGAGGGTCAGAGATCTCTTCCCTGAAAGCACCTGTACTGGTCTTCCTGGCTACGACAGCCCAAGCAAAATTAGTTTTTATCCCTCAGCCCTCAACACCTCCTGTCACCAGGTGTTTCAGCAGGGCCTTGTGCTGAGACCATCCCTCATGCATCTGTAAGTCAATGGGAACCTGGAGGTGGGCCTGACTCCCCATGATCCAGGGCCCCCAGCTTCCCAGAGAATGAGGGGGCCACTTTTAGGGCATAATGAGAGTCTGGGCCTGAAGTTGAAAGGCAAAATTGGATTCAATATTAAGATACCGGCTTTGATGAGGGCCATGAGCCCCCAAACAGACCCATAGAGTTCAGCCCCCTACTCTCATTTCTACCCCATTCTCTCTCACAGTCAGTTTTCTGGCTAGAAATCACTCAGGTAAAACGGGGTGGCCTAGGGCAAACCAGGGTGAACGTGGCCTCTGCAACCCAGGCCTGTTTCTAGATTCCCATCTCACTGTCCGCTGTCATTGGAAGACAAACAAGAAGAGGGCCCTCCACGGACTGGCCCAGTATGAGTCAGGGGGGGAGGAGAGGGAAAGGCTCTGGGCTGGCCTCAGGCCTGGCTGTACTCCAGCCACTGCCTCTGGCTCACAGGTGACCTTGAGCAAGCCCCTCTATGAAAGGCTAGTTCAGCAATACCCCAGATTGTCTGATGATGGTTGGACAAGATGGGAAACACTGAGTTAGGTAATGTTCTCAGATCCTTTCCACCTCATACGTTCTAGAATGAGATGCCTCTCTTCACCGGCCTGGGGGAAGGATAAGTGAGTTGGAGCTGGGCTTTTGATCTCTGAGTGTCCCTGAGCAGTTTTTGGTCCCTGAGGAGGTAGGGTAGGACCTACTGGACTCAGCCCCGACCTGGGGGCAGCAGCTACAGTCCGGCCAAGTAGACAGCCCTGGCCCTGTAGCCCTGCGTCAGAGCAGACTTTGGGAGAAAGACTGTGTCTCAGCCCTCTGCTTCAGGACCAGCCCCGCGAAACCAAGCTTCGGTGGAAGGTGAGGGCCAAGGTGCCCGCCCGGGCTGTGATATGGGCAGTCCCCAAAACACACTGGCCCGCCTGGGGGGAGGGCCACCACTTAAGCAGCAGGGGGGATGGGAGGGCTAAGCTCTGATTCCCCAGAGAGAAGGGGAAGCAGTGGAGGGTGTACCAAACAGAAGAAGCAGGGCTGGGAAATCTCTCTGAATACTGTTCTTGGGGGACCTCAGGAGGGAGTGAGGTTGGGGACAAAAAGACAGAAAGCTTCCCCTGGAGGATATTCACCACACTGTATTGTCTCTGGTCTGTGAGGGCAGCGTGGAGTCTGCCTTAGCTACCGTCATATCCAGGACCTGGCAGTGGTGGGCCCTCTAGTGGCGTGAAGGAGGAAGTGCAGTCTAAGCCAGAGTTGGGGCTAGGGCCCGCTCAACAGTATCTTCGGCAGGGAGGGGCGTGGAAGGAAGAAGTCCCAAGCCTGGATTGATACCTTTGACTTCCTGGTTAAGAGTGACCTGACCAGCACTTGCAGGAGGCACTCTGGGAGCGGAGCCAGCTTTGAGGTGTGAACACACTACTTTTAGGGAAGAGACAGGCTGGTTAGCTGGAGCCTCCCTACCCTCCTGGAGGAAGGGGGGCAGAGGGGTGTTCCTGCTCATTTATTTTTGTATAGCCCCTGGGTCA